GGTGACTGGTCTATTGTGGTCGCCCATGGCGGAGGATATGGAGCATCTGAGGAATGCTATGTGCGGTGGAATTGTAGTGGAGAGTGGAGTGGAAAGTGCAGTAGAATAGTTTGTTAAAGAATCTCAAAGAAGAAAGAGGAAGGAGACTGTGGTTACGGCCTACGGGAAAGCTAGCAAATAAATAAATTTATTTATTACTCCCTTAGTCCCTCCACCTCAATTTATATCTTAGTTTGATTGTACAAGGATTAAGAAAATAAAAACCTTTTACATTTTATAATCTTAATTTAAAGAAAAATGTAATTTATTAAAATACTCTTTGGGTTATGTAATCTCAAATTTGTCACATAGAATATAGAATATTAAAATTAGAGAGTTACCAATTTTTTTTTAAAATATTCTTTTTTGAAATATCCTTAAAAAATACGACACTTAAATTGAAAAGAATAGAGTATTAATTTTAGAATAAACTTGGGCATTACTTTATTATATCTCTCTCGGGACTGGGAAAGAGACCGTGGTCATAAGGAGTTCAACAGCTAGTAAGGAATAAGAATATTTAATCTTGCCATAAATTTTGACATTATTCATATAGCAGTATAAAACATTTAATGGTGCATTATTAGTAATTATTTATTAGTAATATAATTTCCATATGGGCTAATATAAGATTTGATTTCTGGTACTCTATTAAATTCTACAAGTTATGAAAATTTAATATGCGATCAGTTGTTAATCGATTGAACGAGAAACTTATATTTGAATTTATATTATTTTATACAAAAAAACTAAAATAATAATATATGTTTTAGCAATACGTAAATAGAAGTATAACAAAAATAAATACAAATGAAATAACATTACTAATTAATATGATGCTGCCCACTTTAACGGCAATTGCTTTTGGCGAAGTGTAGCATACCGACCAAGAAGTGTGTGTTTATTATTACATCACTTTACCTTTTCGTTTCATTTTATATGGGATTGTATATTTATTGATAGCTTATACTCCTAATTCAAAATCTTCCATTTTTTTTTCTTTTTACCAAAAACTAAAATTTTATTATTTTCTAAAATTAGTTATTCAAAGAGTATATATCAATCTAGCTTTATCTAGCATTTAGAATTAATACACAACTCTTTTTTTAATTGACAAGCAGGTTGATTTATAAATATATTTCCAATAAAGAAATAAATCAGGAAATAATTATAAATAAAAATATTGGGTTTAATTCGATTATAAGAAAGTCACTTTATAATTTTTAGTAAAAAAAGGTTCACATATTTTTTATTTCTTTATCCTACTTGTCACGAGGAAATGTATTCTGTATTTTGTTTTCAAATAGTTTATAGAGTGATTACGGGAAAAACTTTGTTTGACTTTCAAAATAGTAAATCAAAACCAAAATGAGTTTTTGAATGCTGTTTTTCTTGGAAAAAGAAAAGTAAAATCCGCCCCAAACACAATGGGTTGTGACGGGAACTACATGATATCTCTTTTCAACAGAAAATGAGGGATCGGAAAACCGAAATAAAACAGAAAAGGGAAATGATTATTCTGTAAATGTTTGATTTATTACTATTATTTAGAAGCCAGACTTATGGTGTACGAACACTAATATATTTGTATGAACACGGATATATTTGGGATTTCATAAAGCTTAAGGGTAAATAGGTAATTTTGTATGTCTTATGAGAGGGACACGTGTGCTTCAATTAATTTGAGCAAACCGCGTGTACTGCACTTACATTCAGCTATAGTCTCAACTTTCTTCTACTCTTTTTTTGTTCTTCTATCTTTCAAATTGTGAAATTGTTTGTTTGATGGTTCTGCAGTGATTATGGCGTTAACTTTATTGTACAGTGTAATTGCGATTTCTGTTGGATTTTACTCCATTCTCCTTCTTTCTTTGTTGCACCTATTTCTTGGTGATGTTATTTTGATAGATCCTAATTCCTATTTGGTTTTAGACCCATTTCATTGTTAATTGAATTTCTTTAGTCTTCTTCTTCAGGCGTGTATCTTACGCCAAACCACGTGTATCCCATTAGATGGACACAGTACCATTTGGGTATAATTCTTCCAGCAATGCATTGTACAGCTTGAGAGTTTAAGAAGCTCTCCGTAATTCACTTTCTTCGCGATCATCTCTCTAGCTCTTGGTGAGTTTCTAAACTTTCTTCTGGGCTTTCCTTCCTTATTTTTCACTGTCGAATCTTTTGAAAAAGGGCTATAGGCTGATTTGGGATCTCCTTGCTGATATTTTGGGCTTTTCCTTTGTTTTGATTATCATTAGAGTACTTTTAATCATTTTCAAAAGGTTGGGACGGTATGTTATATAGTTTATTTTTTAAACGAATATTTTCTCCTAGCAAAAAATGGTGAATTCATCATCCTTTCTTTCTAATTTATTTACACATGTATAGGTTAAACTATGCTATGACACGTGGCCGTCTGAAAAAGGGACATGTGGAACCCAAGACAGGGGATGGCTAAAGACCGAAGGCAACTGTTTCGTTTGTCACCGGAAAGAATAACGTTCATAAAGATGTGATAAATGTTCTTCTCCCAATAGCATTTAATAGAGAATATTTCATGGTATTAAGAGCAGTTATCCGTTACAAGGAATTTGACATTTATGTTCACCGTTATATCTTCATCAATGCCCCTCATAATTGACATTAAAGAAGGGCACGACCCTAGGACCTTCTTCATAGCTATAAATAGTGAGCTCAGTTGTCATTGTAAAGGACACGAATTTTCTTGCAAACGTATGCTATACTTTATACAAAGCTCAATCCAATCTTATCTTCTTATTTCTTGATTTTCTTTGTTGTTGTGCCCGGAAACTCTGTTCCCGAAATTGTTACTTCTGCTCTTTCGTCTATATCTTAAGGCTAAGTATTGTGTAATTCTTCGATTATTTATTTATTTCAGGATCAAATTAATTCACTTATCTAGAAATCAAATATAAATTTAATTGTACCATTTTATGAGTAAACAGTTTGCCGCCCACTGTGGGGCCTAGATAGTCGTGTAATTAAATTGATCTTTGCTTTTTTTACTAACGTGTTTTCATTGTTTTTATCATAGAAAAGATCATAAGACATGACAAATAACATTGTTAACGACATGCACAACCCCGAGATTCGAGGGGATCAACCTCATTCCGAGGACTTAATCGGTGACACCCATAATGAGGGGAATGACGCTACACCAGTGCATGACAGGCAGTATCCTCGACATGTTCGGGGGACCACTCCCGATGACGCTGATGAGGAGCATGTCGTCGACGCGGTAAGGGTCTTGCAAGAGCAACAAGCGATCCTTTTAGGCCATCTCACGCGACGGGATAAAGTTATGACGGAGTTGAAGCAAGCGTTGTTGGTAGCTTCAAATAATGCAAACAGACGAGATTCGATTCCTCCCGGGGTTCCCACGAATCAAACGACGCGGATGATCGACAACAACACTCCTAGGGGTAAAATTGGCTCCGATGGGGCGGGGGGAACAGATCTAGCCTCAACAACGAGAATGATCCTTTCAAGAATGAACTTTTACGGTTCATGAGTGAAGTGAACACCCGCATGGACCAGTTCCCGGCGCGCCACCAATGTTGAAAGGTCCGGACTCGAAAAAGTATAGTCAATTGTCGTACAAGCCAAGTGCGGCACCAGAGTTAATTCCGAAGCAGTTCAAAATGCCTAAAGTGCCAAAGTATGACGGAACTTCAGACCCCAGGAGCATATAACTACCTACACAACGGCGATAAAGGGAAATAATTTAGCCCCTCACGAAATTGAATCTATACTACTGAAGAAATATGGAGAAACCCTCACGAGGGGAGTCTTGACATGGTATTCGCTGTTAGCCAAGCATTTCATAGATTTCTTTGAAATGCTTGCGGATTCTTTCATCAAGGCTCATGCCGAGGCAAGAAAAGTACATGCCCGAAAGACCGACATATTCCGTTTTACGCAAGGAGAGTCTGAGCTGCTACGAGAGATCGTTACCCGATTCCAGAAGGAGAGAATGTTGCTCTCGGCTATCCCGGATGAATGGGCGGCTGAGGCGTTCACCAAGGGATTGAATCCGAGAAGTTCAGACGCTTCCCAGAAATTGAAGGAAAGTCTACTCGCGTTTCAAGCAACGACCTAGGTGGATGTCTACAATCAGTACGAATCAAAAATAAGGATCGAAGATGATCAGATTTGTTTTTCGTCGTTGACCAAAGGACGAGAAAAAAATAGGGAAAATTAAAGGATGATTATGACGCGGACAGGCAGACTTAGAGAGGCCGGTTTTTTCCCTACCAACGAACTGAAGGCCGCAACAGAAGTTTCTTGACAGCGGGCAGGTTCACCGTTGATAGGAGGACTGATCGCGGTTGGAATAATCGATCACTACAGGATAAAGAAGTGGCAGGATCGCGGGATCCTTCTTACCCCAAATTATCAGAATACAACTTCAACATCAATATAATGGAGTTGGTATTGGCCATGAGAAACATCAAAGAAGCACGGTTCCCAAAATCGAAGAGATCTGATTCCAGCAAGAGGGATCCCAATTTATGGTGTGAATACCACGGGATGAATGGCCACCGGACATGGGACTGCCGACATCTCCGAAAAGAAGTGGCAACATTACTGAAGAATGGTCACCTCAGAGAATTCTTGAGCGAGCGAGCTAAGAACAATTATGGTCGTAACTGAAACAACACGGATCCCTCGAAAGCAGGAGAAGATCCTCCGCGTCAAACAATCAACATGATCTTCGGAGGGAACGAGATTAATGAGTTCACCTTTTCAGCATCAAAGAAGACGAAAGTATCAATAACGCATAGCAAACAGCTTCGGGAAGATAATATCACTTTTACGGAGGAGGACGCAGACGGATTGCTGCTACCACACAACGACGCACTGGTAATTTCTTTAAATGTGCTAGATTTTAAGATTAAACGTGTTTTAGTGGATCCAGGGAGTTCGGCTAATATCATACAATGGAGGGTATTGGAGCAAGCTAAACTCACCAGAAGCATTATTCCGGCCACAAAGCTCCTCGCTGGATTCAACCTCGCAAGTGTGACAACTCGGGGAGAAATTTTATTGCTCACAAATCCTGAATGAGTAATGAAAACAACTCTTTTCGAAGTGGTAGATGGTGATATAGGATACAACATCATTCTGGGAAGGCCATGGTTGCACGAGATGAAAGTTGTACTATCAACGTACTATCAATTGCTGAAGTTTCCAACGCCCGGGGGGAATTAAGCAGATAAGGGGTGACCAACCGGCGGCAAGGGAGATGAATGCAATTTTGGTCTCCAGTAGTGAAAGAAAGGAACACGTGGCATAGCAATTACAGGGATCGACACCTACTCCTGAACTAGATGAAGTTAGCCAGGCGTCGGAAAATTATTAGGTGCCGAGATATTTCCAAGTTCTAGAAGAGACCGATGCAACGAAGTCCACAGCATAAGAGCTGGAGCAAGTGGCATTTTTCGAAGAATTCCTAGAAAGGAAATTCCACTTGGGACAGGACTGCACCTAAAACTCAGGTCCGATTTCACTAAATTCCTTAAATCTAACGCCGATTGTTTTGCATGGTCGCATGAAGATATGACAGGCTTCCCGACAGAGGTAGCCGTAAACAAGTTAAGCTTGGATCCTAACATACCTCCGGTAAGACAAAAGAAGCACCCGATCGCCGAAGCCAGAAATAAATTCGTCAAAGAAGAGGTAACCCGCTTACTTTATATCGGTTCGATCCGAGAGGTAAGATATCCAGACTGACTAGCTAATGTAGTAGTGGTTCCTAAGAAAAATAATAAGTTTCGCATGTGTGTAGATTATAAAGATCTTAACAAAGCGTACCCGAAAGACTCGTTCCCACTGCAAAACATCGACCAAATGATTGATGCCACGGCCGGACACGAATTAATGAGTTTCCTCGATGCTTATTCCGGGTACAACTAAATTAAGATGAACCCGAAAAATCAAGAAAAAACTTCGTTTATAACGAATTTCGGTATATATTGTTACAATGTGATGCCTTTCGGGTTGAAAAACGCTAGAGTCACTTATCAGCGGCTCGCGAACAAGATGTTTGAAAATCAAATAGGAAAAACTATGGAAGTTTATATAGATGATATGCTCCTTAAGTCTTCAAATGCAGGTGATCATCTTCAATATCTGCAAAAAACTTTCGACATCCTAAGGAAGTATAATATGAAACTTAATCCCGAGAAATGCGCGTTCGGGGTCAGCTCTGGTAAGTTTCTGGGATTTCTGGTATCCCGAAGGGGGATTGAGGTAAACCCCGATAAGATCAAGGCCATAGAAGATATCCCGGACCAATTATCAAACGTGAAGGAAGTCCAAAGGCTTACGGGGATATTGACAGCTTCGAGCAGATTCATTTCCCGATCGTGAGAAAAGTGTCATCATTTCTTCGCACTACTCAAAAAGAAAAATAGTTTCGAATGGACCTCGGAGTGCCATCAGGATTTGAGGGATTTAAAGAATTACTTGTCAAGCCCTCCATTGCTTTCAAAACCAAAAGAAATGGAAACGTTATTAGTTTACCTCGCGGTCTCGGAAGTTGCAGTAAGTGCGGTTTTAGTCCGAGAGGATAAAGGTACGCAATCTCTTATTTATTATGTTAGTAAAATTTTAACAGGAGCAGAAACGCGTTACCTATATTGGGAAAAAATGGCCTTAGCTCTCGTAGTCGCTGCTCGGATGCTGAGGCCATACTTCCAATGCCACCCGATAGCCGTGGTGTCTACTTTCCCTTTGCAGAACATCCTCCATAAACTCGAGCTCTCGGGTAGATTGGACAAATGATCCGTCGAAATGAGTGAATTCGACATAGAGTATAAGCCGAGGACTACAATTAAGTCGCAAGTCTTGGCTGACTTCGTGTTCGATTTCAGTTCGTGATTATTGCCTCTAGTAACCAAGGAAGCAGTAATGGTGTCGGAATCGACATCAGGGGTTTGGACCTTATTTACGAATGGAGCTTCCAACGTAAACGGGTCCGGGCTCGATATAGTCTTAATCATGCATTCGTGGGAAACCTTAAGGCAAGCCATCGGGACGGTCCATTTAACTAATAATGAAGCAAAGTATAAAGCTTTGATTGCAGGACTCGAGTTGGCTTGGGGACTTAACTCCGAGGTCATTAAAATCAAATGCGACTCACAACTGGTGGTAAATCAGGTCTACTGGATCTTTGAGACCAAACAGGAGTGCATGCAACAATACGTGGTAAAGGTTCAAGCTCTGGTGTCGCGATTCCGAGAGTGGTCAATTACTCATATCCCAAGGAAAGAAAACGCAGAAGCAGATGCATTAGCAAACCTAGGATCATCAACATAAATAAAGGGATCAGAGTCTAGGACGGTAGTACAACTGATGAACTCAATCCTGGATACAGATGTTTACTATGAGGTAAATTCAACTAATTTGGTCTGGGACTAGAGGAATGAAATTATCGATTATCTCGAACATGGGAAGCTACTTGAAGACCCCAAAATATCCCGGGCACTGTGCGCCAAAGCAGCGCGATATAGCTTCAAGGGAGGCCAATTGTATAAATAATCTTTTCAAGGCCTGCTGGCCCGATGCTTAAGAGCGTCCGAAGCTAACTATGTCATGAGAGAGGTGCACAGAAGGATATGCAGAAACCACTCGGGCGCAAATTCCTTGGTGCTGAAGTTGGTAAGGGTAGGATATTATTGGCCCCGCATGGAACAAAACGCCAAGGATTTCGTACGAAAATTTGATAAGTGTCAACGCTACGTGCCACTAGTGCATCAACCGGCAGAACCCTTACATTCGGTCCTATCTCCTTGGCCGTTCATGAAATGGGGGATGGACATCGTCAGACCACTATCACCGGCTCCAGGAAAGGTAAGATTTCTTTTAAGTTTGACTGATTATTTTTCTAAGTGGGTGGAAGCAGGTCCTTATCAGAAAATCGGAGAACGCAAAGTGACGGATTTTTGTGGGAAAATATAATTTGCAGGTTCGGAATACCAAAAGAGATAGCATGCGATAATGGACCATAATTTATTGGCGCAAAAATTACAAAGTTCCTCCAAGATTTAAAAATAAAGAGGATCACATCTTCACCTTATCATCCGAGTGCAAACGGTCAAGCGAAGTCGACGAACAAAGTGATTATTCAAAACCTCAAGAAAAAGTTGGAAGCGGCTAAAGGAAACTGGCCTGAGGAATTACCCGGAGTTCTATGGGCATACCGAACTACAACCAAGTCGAGCATAGGGGAAACTCCTTTTTCCCTCGTGTACGGTGTAAAAGCTTTAATCCCGGTGGAAGTAGGGGAACCCACCTTGAGATACTTCCAGACAGGTGAAGAATCAAACAACGAAGCAATGTTAGTCAACTTGGAACTGCTCGATGAACGCAGGGACTTGGCGCATGTAAGAATGATAGCTCAAAAGAAGAGAATTGAGCGGTATTATAATCGAATAGCCAACCTCTGCTATTTCAAAGTAGGAGACTTGGTCCTAAGGAAAGTAACTCACAACAACCGGGAGCTCAACGCGGGGAAGCTAGGTCCAACGTGGGAAGGCCCCTACTAGGTTTTGGCTATCACCGGAAAAGGTACATACGAGTTAGAAGACCAAAATGGAGAAAAGTTGACCAGCAATTGGAACGTGGTACACCTCAAAAGATATTATTGCTGATGAACATTATCCGATCAGAAAGTATGTGCTGCACTTTTTTTTTCCCCTTTATTCAGTTTTTGTCCCAATTGGATTTTTCTGGCAAGGTTTTTAACGAGGCAGTAACATAAAGCATACTACGAAGACAGGAGCAATAAGACCTTTAATAGCAAGGCACAGAAGCAAAGATCCACTTAGGGATAGTTAGATAATTTTTTGCTTTATAGCAGATTCCCATCGGAAAGTTAAGTTTGCTATTGAGCAAAGGTTACCCGATCGTTCACAAATACAAACCACTAGAGGGTTGTTAGATAGTCTTTCGCTCGATAGCATAAGTTCCTAAGGGGAAGTAAAGTATGTTACCAAGTTAAGGATTATCTAGCAATGCATTAATGGAATCTTCGAAGATACAAGACCTCCAGTGTTCCAATTCGCACTCTTCGCATTCGAACACTGGGGGAATGATATGAGGATACGGCAACACTGATCGCTACGTCGACCGGGAAACGAAAAACCAAAAATATAATTACATCATCGGGACCGCGGATTGCGCGGTCAGCCCTATAGAAACAAGTTGTATAAGTTAGCTACAAGTAATGGCAATTTTTTTTCAGCATAGCAAATGCTTATGTATTTTTGGAAAATAGAAGGAATAAAATGAAATCCTTTTCTTTTTATCTTGTTTATTGTCTGAACGATGAATTAACTTTGTCATTTGAAAGTTAAATAAGTACTTCAAATGCTAGTGCCGTAATGAACAGAAGAGGTCCTCTTCAAGAACACCGTAAACATAAGAGGGCCATATCTTATAAAAATCCTCACGTTAAAAGGTTGGTTTCGAAAGAATTTATGCCCGGAATAAAAAATGCCTTCGGGAAAACATACACCCGAAATCGTATACGAAAAGACGCAAAAAATAAACTTACGCAAAAACATATCAAAGCCCTCACGAAAAAGGACTGATGCCCAGAGCAAAAAATACTTTCGGGGAGAATACACCCAAAAGTTTCACATAATAAGACGCAAAAAAGTTTGCGCAAAATTCTTAAAGAAAATGCAAAGATTAAAGACTTGCATAAATATTCTAACGAGAAGAAGACTCAAACAATACTTGAGCAAAAGATATTTTTATTTACAAAAACATGTCAAAATGGCATAGGTACGAGAACTAGAAAAAGAAAAGAAAAGCTAAACTGCAGTATCTCGGGAACCAGGAGGAAGAGAAGTGTCCGCTCCCCTAGTATAAGTAGACGAACCCACCGATGGCTCAACATTTTCACCAGTTTGGCTTTCAGCATCATCATCCATGCTAGATAACAAAGTATGGTGGCCACGCTTGCAGAGGTTTATCATTCTCCCGCAGAAGATCTTGGGAGAATAGAGATTCATCATATGAGCTAAGGTTAGCTTCTCTCCAGTTTCCTGGCTCAAACGCCGAAGGCAAGCAACTGTCCTCCACACAGAAGGGCTTACTTATGCCAAACACACTTGGTAGCTGAGGCAAAACTCCACAATCACGGAGTCAAGCTCTCCACTCAAAGAGAACGCACCCAAAATAAAGGGATACATGTAAACATATGTTAAGCCCTCCTTGGGTAGGGTGACTCACTCTGATAGATCAGGAGCAATAATTTCCAAGCCATGGCAGCAGTAGTCTTCCTTCACAGCAGGAATGCTTGAAGGACGTATGGAAGAAGGATACTTGCTAACGGCCCATGTACGAGAGTTAGCAGTAGGGAATCTCTTCAAAGTCTTTTGTGATAATAAGACTTCTAGGGATGATAGAGCCCACTGTTGGAGGAGCAGAGTCTTCAGCCTTGTTCTTGTTTTTTGAAAAACCGGTACGTTTTGAAGAAGAAGCCATTGTATGAAAGAAGGAGAAGGTTTTTCGTTTGAAGAGAATTAGAGAAAAGATGAAGAGCAAGATGCGAGTTAGATTAAGGAAGCTTGAAAAATTATGAAGTATAAGAGAGGAAAGTGATACGTATAAGTAAACGTTTTGGCAGCTAAATTCATGACCATGATTACCTCGATAATCGGCAAACGTTTCCTGAATCATGGGACGACGCATGTTCGGAGCATTAAATGCGGATAAACATGCGTCTAATCAACCGTCAGAAGCTTTCAGAGGGAATTATAGTAATTCCCGCCAAAAGAGTATTTCTACCAACTTTCTGATAACACAAAGTCATGTCACCGAAAAGCAGGGGGACTATCTGTATAGGGTAAAATATGCTATGACACGTGGCCGTCCGAGAAAGGGACATGTGGAACCCAAGACAGGGGGATGGTTAAAGACCGAAGGCAACTGTTTCGTTTGTCACCGGAAAGAGTAACGTTCATGAAGATGTGATAAATGCTCTTCTCCTGGTAGCATTTAATAGAGAATATTCCATGGTATTAAGAGCAATTACCCGTTACAAGGAATTTGACATTTATGTTCACCGTTATATCTTCATCAATGTCCCTCCCTCCC